ATATATATAATATATATATATATATATTGATGTGTTTATGCGGACTGACAGTCCACACGCGAGCCACACACCAAACGGCAACAAGTGTTACAGTGTCCCTTAACATACAAATTGCACCATTATAACTTTACCGTAACTACATGCATGCATATCGATCTCATCAAAAGCCATATCTCCTACCCTTCTGTCTTGAAAGCCATCGACAAACCCCATGTGGAAGTTCCCCCGCAAACAACTGGGAAGTTATAGTTCGTTACAGTACGGATTGATACGGTTGCCGCATTATTAAAAGGAAAAACAAGGCGGTCTATTAATTGATAATGAGGAAAACGGCAGACAACGGATCCGCATGTGGGCCTAGAGAGCACTCAAGAAGCGCTTCCAGCCGTGCTACATTTTACTGCGCAACGGAGTATAACCGTGTCGCACTTTCTTCAATCGCCTTGTGTTCTCAAAGTCTCTTATGTATCAGCTTCTCCTGGTCCATATGCCCAGTTGTTCTCTAGACGGCCTTATTGGGTGCACTAGCCGACCCTCAAAGCAGTTCTTTCAATGCAGATAGTTGTTTTGAGTTTGTCTGGTTTGTATGGCCTTTACTGAGCTCCATGCTGAGCATAATTCCTGTAACAAGTACCAGACATAATAACATAAGCGAGCTCAGTTGGCTGGACTCCCCTGAAATGCCCCTGAAATGTTAGTCTGCTGTTTCCTGTTTTCTGTCGTTTCACAGAAACAGAGTTACACATCTCTTGCCCGTTACGCCCGATTGAAAAAAATTAAACTTATATGCCTCTTTCGGAACCTTCCTGCCAACATATTCGAACTGACAAAAGCGGAAAGGGCTTTGTGGCCTTCCCACTGCTGAAAATTCACCACTGGGCATCAGCTGAAGCAGTTCTCCTACTGCGCTTTTGCGCTCGTCCTGCTCACTAGAGACAGCGTCATGACAGCTAAACAGATCGGCGCGGTTGCATAAACCTATTGGCAGAGAGCTGAGGAGGTTCTGCTCTGCGGTTCTAGTGTTGAGGAATCTTAGCTTCAGGCCCACATTCCTCAACACTAGAACCTGGTCCTTCTGAGATCTCGCACCTCAGACTCCCAAATGAGATAAGCATCGACTCTGAAATCACAAAGCTGCAGAAGGGGCTGAGTTGCCAATAACGGCCCTGCGTGGGTCCTCTGTTTGAAGCCTGAAGGGCCAAATATACGCCGCGGCAGCCAGCGACGCACCGACATTGCCTTTCTCGAGGCGGCACACGAGATCAAGAGAAAACAAAAACATTATCAGTTGCTGTGCAGTACCCGCCCCACAGGGTGGATGTGACTTGTGTATATAGGGCTGAAGAACACATTGCGGAGGCCCACATACCTCTTCTCGAGAAAAGTTGCCACACACACACACACACACAGCTCTGCCCAACTCTTTACGGTACGCAAGCAGTTCTTAGCATGCATACAGCACACCGGGACACGTCCTTGTCTCTCCTCCACGCTGCAGGAGCCCGCAGACAACCTCTGGGCCTAGTGAGGGGTTGCTGCAGGCCTTCTTCCATCTTCAGCTTGCCGGGACACTACCCAAAGTGAAGAGACCGGACGGGAGCCTTAACATGGCGCCCTCAGTTGGCATGATGCGGAATATATGTGCAACCCATGGGGGTCCCTTGCAGCAAGTAGCCGGACGCTTTGCCTGCTAATGGGGTCAACGCTTTGTCCTCGTCCTCTCGAGGACGCACAACCACCCAAGGAAGTGCTGGTGGAGGGCGGGGGTCTACGGTTTCACTGCGGGCCCTGCCTGGGGCACCTTGCCCGAGCTGTTCTGGTTTATCGAGGGCACCGGCAGCACTGCGCGTCCTGGGATCTTCTCTGGGTCTGTGGAGTGTGAGGGGGCTGACGAGGGCCCAGTGGCCCCCTGGAGGCCCGAAGGGGGCCCCTTTGGCTGCAGCTGCTGTGTCGTGTCCTGGAAGAAACAGCATTCCATTTGGGTGCCGGCTTGGTAGAAGAGGGGAATTCTGATTCATTTGCTGCTTCGAGGAAAGAGCGCTGTCTGCGTTGAAGCCGAAGCCACAGGAGTAACCAGCAACAGACAAGAGCTCCTCCCCCAGAGAGGTCTCGAGCTGAGCGATGGGCTGCTCTACAAAGGGACGGAACTGAAGGAAATTTTCGTGGCTCTTGGGGGTGCCATCGGCAGGCTGGAACAGCGTGATGGGAGCAGCACTAGGTGGAGGTCCCCCAGCAGGATACGGAAGCGTTGGAGGCAGGGGCACCGGGTGGTTCTCGTGGCTGGGCGGTGCGAAGTCGCCGTGTGGCAGATTCACGTCCGCCTCCTGCAGACTTGGATTGGTGGATAGGGGCATCATCGGGGCCCCATCGGGTGTACGCGAGACGCCGGGTGGAGGGGGGCTTCCCCCGCTGACTTCTGTAGGGGCGACAAAAGGTTGGCAGCAGAAGTAGCTAGCAGAATAAGGGCCACCAGAACTCTTGGATGGGCAAGGCCCTGGGGCGGTTGGGGGCCCCTCGCTGGCACTGGAGCTGGTCACTGGAAGGGCCTCGTCAGCTGTTGTCGTGACTGCCGAAAAGAAACCCGTGTTTGCTTCCGTGGAGAAAGGAGATCGCTCCTTCGGGGAGGGCCTCCCGCACATGGGGCTATCCGCCGTTGTGAAAACCCCTCTGCACTGCATCAGCGGCAGCTGCAGCCCCGGAGGGCGGTTGCCGGTACCCTCGACCCCCGTGGGTTCCGCGAAAGAGGGTCCCCAAGGGACCGGCCCCTCGGCTTTGGTGTTACCATCCGCCTCTGCCCTTGTCTCATCTTCCGGCAACTCTCCAGATTCCCCTTCTCCTGCTACCGGTTGAAGCCACTCAGGCGCCTCGCCAACACCCTTGGGCGCAAAGCCGCTCCCAGAGGCCGCAGCAGGGAGACATCTAGACAAGCTCTGACCGCTGTCCCCTTGCAGGGGGCCCTCGTGAACGAAGTAATGCCCCCCTCCGCAGGTTCCCTGAGAGTCCCCCGGGGTGCCCAGCAGGGAGCCCCCTCTGGAAGCGTCGCTGGGGAGCATCCCGCGGGGTACCTTATTCGACAAGGAGGGGGGACGCCGACGGGCCTGCTGGCCCGGCGGGGACTTGGGGCGGTGTTGCTGTTCTGGCTTTGTGCAAATTGTGCTCGCATCCTTCTTACAGGCCCATTTGGAGGAGCTACTGCCTCTCACCAACCACGCTGCGACGCAAGCAGCAAGCAGAAAATCCCAGGGCTACAAGCTGTTACAGCAATACGACTACCTTGCAGATAGTGTGGTTCACCTTGTGGGGCAGCAACCTGCAGGATGTGGCTGTCTCTGGGTGTATGCAGCAGCTGCAGCAGCAACAACAGAAGCCGAGACAGTCTGCTTTGTTGCGGAAGCAAACACCGTCCACCAAAACCTTACCGGGTTCGTCCTCGGAGAGGCCTTCTCCATCGCTGTCGTGGAGTTGGCGCCCCTTGTCAATGACTTGTCTCAGAAAGGATCTGGCGAGCTCGAACTGGGATTTCATGTCTTTTTCGTCCTGTGAGAGCGCAGCAATCACTCGTGCAGTGTCATTCTTTTTGCGTATTGTGCACCGCGCTGTGCGCTGCAAGCTTAACTTAAACGCTAATCCCTGAGCCCTATGCGCTACACCCACAGACCCTAGCTTGCTACATGGGGAGGAATGGAACTGCTGTCTCTGTTCGTGCTGTGCAGCCGTACGCCTGGGCTGTAGGGGAAAAGCTTCATGGCTTCTTCTTGCTCCCCTCTGTACTTGACTTTCCAAAGTCCCTGCTGAAAGTAAATTCCACGTACACCGCTAAACGGTTTCTTTCCCACATTGAAACGCTTGGCGCGGCCTCCCTTAGGTCGGCTGATCTTCTTCAGTTGCTCGAGCTCCTCGAACCACGGATTCGTGCTGGTGCTCAGCCCCTCACCTCCGCCGGCTTCGGGGCCCCGAAAACCCAACTCACCGGACTTGGTAGGCAGGTCTTCTGGGGAGCCCGCACGAGGGATCCCAGGTAGGCAAGGTGCAGGGGACTCTGGCAACGGCAGGTCCTGCCCGGGGCCCGCTGGTGCTTGGGGGGGGACCACTGTTGCACCGTTGTATGGGCCACTCGAGGAATCCGGGCTCTTGAAAGAAAGGTATGGAGACATCATAGGGGTGGCACCCTCTGCTCTGTTTTCCCCAGGAGAGGTTGCCTTTCCGCTGGGGCTCCCTGCAAGCAACTCGGCGCGAGCGACTCTACGAGGGCCCTGAGAAGCGGGAGCCTCTGCCGTTCCTTCGGAGGCCCCTCGGGGCGCCTGACCCTTTTTGGAAGAGGCCCCACCTGCGCAATCGCTGCCCTTCCGTACCTTCGTAGTGTTTTCGCCGCTCTTTGCCGCATCCTTCCGCTTCTTGCAGACGCCACCAGCTGAAAGCCGCTGTTCAAGGGGGCCCTTGGAGCCAGGCAAGCCCCCGGTATCCCCTACATACACGCCATCGCGCGTAGGAGCCCCTCCCGCCCCCGCAGCTGCAGCAGCCCCTGCAGGCCCTGCTGCTGCTGCTCCAGTCTGTTGCTCCCTCTGTTCCGCAGTACTCTTGACCTGACCCGCCTCTCCTGAGCTCGGCAAGAAGCCCTGCGAGCCTTCAGGAGCCCCTCCAGAGGCCACGGGCGCCGCACCGTCACTGCGCCCGTAGGGCAGGGGGCCGGGCACTTGGGCCGGCAGCGGCTCTTTCATAAGAGAAGCCAGCGAGGTGCATGTCTCTTCGTCCGTGGGCAGGCGACTGGTCCTAAGGACGAACTTCCTGGCCCACTCGCACATCAGCCGTGCGCGCTCGTAGCCGTACAACTGCACAGACACACAAGCCAAGCGTATACACACTGTAGGAGCTGGTGCAGGGGCAGGCAGAGGGCGCGGAGGAACCTGGGTAACCCTCTGGGCCTGCTTCCATACCGCATAGACACACCAGCAAACATGTCAGCAACGCCAAACTTCGCGCTCTCAGCAAACACGCGGCAACGTACGAGAGGCGACAGGAAGGTGTGGGGCCCTCCACAGCGTTCGGGTCGAAGTGTGTGCTCAAGTGACGTAGGAGTAGCGGCAGTCGCCCTTACCCTGCAAGAGAAGGACTTTTGTTTCTTTGTGCCCTCGATAAGCAGCTCGGCCCTCCACGCCTCCTTTTTGCGGTGAAAGTACATCTTTGCCATCACCTCAGACGGCCGCACTGTTCGGGGGCGGGGGTTTGCTCTGGGGGCCCCGCTGTTTCCCTCTCCCTTTTCAAATGCCGCGGTGGGAGCCTTACATTGCCCGCCCAATTGGGGTTGCCGTATAGGGGCCCCATGAGAGGAGGGGGCCGCGGGGCCTCCCTGGCAACCTACGGAGACCGCAGGAGAATCTTTCGGCATCCCGTCCTCCTGGGCAACCCCCTGAGGTGCGGGCCCTTTCCCCCGAGGTTTAGGGGCCCCCTTGCCCGGAGAATGTTGTTTAAAGAACTTGGCAGGGCGCGTGCCGGCGGCGGGAGCAGGGGGCCCTCCTCCCTCGACACCCGAGACGCCCGAGACGCCCGAATCTGTCTTTCTCCTACAGGAACCTCCTCCCTTAGGGGGCCGCGAGCTTTTACTCTCAGATTTCGGAAGCGCAGCCCCTCCCATCCCCAAAGGCGCATACACCCCGCCTGGAGGTTGCAGGCCATTCACATGGGACTGCTGAGGGGGAGGCTGCGGCGTCCGCTGCTGCTGCTGCTGCTGCTGCTGCTGCTGTTGCTGCTGTTGCTGCTGCTGCATAGGTTGCCAAGGCCCCCCACCAGTCGGCCCCTCTGGACCGCCTTTCAGGCCGCCTGGCGGCCCCTGAGGGGCCCCCATGCACATGCTGAAGGGGAACGGTGCAACCCCAGGAGGAGCAGCAGCGGCGGCAGCAGCAGCAGGAGGAGGCTGTAGGGTATCACTTTGTGCTGCTGCTGCCGGCTGCCACTGTGAAAGGTGTGGCTGCGTTGATATGTGGGGGACATCTCCTACGAAGGGGCCCGAAGCTAGGGGGGAGACGCTGTAGGGGGGAGGGGCCTGTGCCGGCATCATGCAGGGACTCGTGCAGCCAAACGAAACATTTCTTTCGGCAGAACAGTCCATAGCAGGCTGCCAGGGAGGCAGCTCCCCCATGTTCACAGGGGCAGGTGGGGCATCGCCATTGTGGGGGCCCGGACCCCCTCCCGTTTGCTGCAGAACTGGGGGGCGCTGCTGGTGCAGCTGCTGCTGCACCACCTGCTGGCCTTCGTAGTACAGAGGCTGCTGTTGCTGCTGCTGTTGGTGTCGCTGAGGAAGCAGTAGCCAGGGGTGGACTTGGGCTCCCTCTGCGGGTTCTGGCTGCAGGGGTACGGGGCCCATGGGGGCCCCTTGATTCATTGTAGGTTGCTGCTCAAGCGGCTTTTGAGGTGAACACGAGACATTTGAGGATACCACGCCCTGGAACACCGCTTGGCTGTGGCCAGGTGCCTGGGAGGCCCCTCCCAAGGCGTTGCTATAGGGAACAGTGACAGGGAGAGACCCACCTCCGTGAGGCCTTTGCGAGGCACAGGCCCCTGCCGGGTCTGTTTCCCTCAGGGCAGCCATTCGGGTGTCACCTGGCCAGGGGCTCTGATCGGGTGGGGGCTGCCCCCCTGAAGAATCCATGCCTAAAGCGGTGGTTATCTGTGGTCTTCACAGGAGGAGGGAGAGAGGCAAGGGCGTGCATAGGGACCTGCCGCGGCTTGGGAAGCGCCAGCTCGAAGGACTGGCCCACGGAGCCCTCTTAGTGGGAAAGGTGCAGAGACAATACTTTCGTAGCAGCAGCAGCAACAGCCGTCGCTGTTGCTGCTGCTGCAGAACGACAAAGAGGCCTCAAGGGACAGCACGCCTAAGCACGCGCGAAGGACAGGGGGCAGGGAGGGCGGGCGCATCGGGCTCTATAGATCTCCAGGGTCTTTGGCTTGGGTGAAACATTTAATTCCTTCGCAGTTAAACTTATTTAGGCGCAAGAGAGAGGAGAAAGAAGGAGGCCCCAGGGTCTGGCTAGCTGAGACACGTCTCCCGCGAGCGCAGCCGACACCGGCAGAGCTGCAAGACAGCTGGGAAAAAGCAGCTGTCCGGAGGCGGGCTTGAGTAAATTAAAGGTAGAAATCAGCTAAAACATCACGGAGAAATCGTTTGCGCACATATACATCTGGAACAGGGTCAAAAGAAGCCGTGGGCCGTCGGGTGGAGGGCCTGGGAAGACGTGGACTGGCTCTACAACTCCGCAGCCCCTAGAGCAACTGCAGCTTTATCATGGTGAATTGTCTAACTTTCTTTGCTCCCTTGTTTGCTTAATTAAATTTTTAGCTTTAAGAGTACAATAAAGGGCTGTACTTCCCAAGTCCATGCATCGCGGAGGCGAACCACACAACCCCAGCTCCTGCCACGGGGCCTCTGTGATCTTACGCACACCGGCTGCTCGCCCGCAACAACGCAGCGACCTTTGAGTCTTATCAGCACTTTTGCTTGCCGTGTATTGTTCTGTTATTAAGAAACTCCCCCCACCGAATCGCCGCCGTGTAGAGGCAAGCGCAACTACGCGCCAGCGTGCCGGGCGCCGGGCCTGTCGAACACCAGTGTCTTTTCAGTGAAAGTATAGACACTGCAGTGTCTATACACTGCAAAGTCCATACAATACAGTGCGCCTGTACACTAGTTCATATTTCTGCACGTAAGTCACCGTATAGACACCGCAGTCAATCTGATTGCAATGCAATCTTGAGCTGGGGATCGCCCGAGACGCCTCGCGCAGTCTGGGCCCTGAACTCTAGTAGGTCTGCATACTGCAGCATTCCACGCGGCACCTCTAGTTTACGTATTGAGTTTCTGCAGCGTTCATGGACTTGAAGGGGCAGCAGGGCAGCGAGCGACACAATGTTCTGTCTGGGGTTACCATGTCCCATCGTACCGCCGTGTGGCTTGATTACTGAGAGCTAGTTCAGTGTTTAGCACTTGTCCAGGGCTTTAATTCGTGCACGTGAGGGAGGCTTGTGTATTCTTGCATGTGGGGTTACTTTGCACCTGGAGCTTCAACAAGGTGGTCTGCCACCGGCAGTACACCTCCGCTCCGCAGCAGCCGCAGGAACTCGTGAAGGTATGCAACGAAATCCTGTAGACTAACGGGCATATCCGGGTGCTATTGGTAACTCTTGTATTGAGTATTTTTGGCCCTATTGCAACTCACAATGGTCCTCGACTCAGGTCGGTAATCCTCGACATGAGTCAAGAGGGGATAGAGAGTAACTCCTCCTCCGGGCTGCCTAGCCTGTTGCAGTTACGTTTTCGTGACGTGCCTACAGAAACCGACGTAGTTCCCGCGACGCTTTCTCGTAAGCTCTTCTCAGAATCTTCCCACTTCGAAAGGAGGCTATCGACCAGAACCTGCTTTCGGCTGCGGAGATATGGACAGCCGAGTTCCTAGGCTCGGCAGAACGACCTCACCATTCTTCTAATGGTGGGGTGTACACCCTAGCCAAGACACTGGCGAGTATCAGCTAGTGTGCGTGTGTCTCCAGAAAATATGTCCTTCGGAACGCCTGCAGCAAAAGCCGCGCTACACTCCCATGCAGTCTTCCAGAGGTTTCCAATTCCTAAACGAGTCTACGCGGCTGTTTATGTGATTTGCATAGTGAGAGCCACTAGCCACAGAAAGCACTAATTGCTAATGAAGCGACCAGAGTCTGCAAGCGGCTGCTCTCAGAGGGTGTGGCTGCATCTCTACGCAGCTGCTTTTTCGCGTCAGCATGTGGCTATATCAGGTACACAAGTAGCTCCAATAGGACGACTCGACTACTGCATGCAATAAAAAAGACTGCAGGTCACTGTATTAAGACCGTTTGGGCTGTGCTACTGCAGCCTGCAGGGTTTCAGGAAACAAAAACAAGGCACACGTCGTCCCTGGCATTTGCTAGTAGCATCAGAGGGGCGTGCTGCGCGCTTTATAAATGGTGGAGCTCGAGCCAACAAGGACTAAAAACAAAAATGTAACTTAATAACAAACCCTGCCGCGGCAGGGCAAAGGTGCACGTCCCACATCCGTGTAAATACACTCTAGAAACGCTAATCAAGCTGCAAAAATCAATGTGGCGCCTAAACAGCTCAACCTGCTGCTGCTGCTGCTGCTGCTTCTAGCAGGACCGGCAGTACAGCCTGATGTTCGCTGCAGATTCGGCACAGACGTAAAAAACCGCCCAAGAGAACCGACAAAGTCATTGATGGTGTGCATGGAGACAAGGGCTGAACGGGTGGACGGGGAGACAAGGGGATGGAGACAAGGCCATAAATAAATCACGCTAAAGGGCCCGAGAAATGTGCGGAGAGGTGCATAGGGAACTAAGGTAAAAGGAAAAACAATGAAGGTGCAGATGCAGGCCAGGCCCTCAACTGAAGGTGTGGGGGACGCCCAGGACCGCAGGACCCTGCAAGTTTACAGCGCGTGCGGCGCCTCTTCAAGAAGACCATCGTTTCATGGCTTGGCTCCGAGAAAAGAAAGCAAACAGCTGAAAAAGTCTCGACTGATTGCCTTCGGGAAGTGTCCATCACTCCGCCTCTGCCGTTACGTTAAACAGCTGAGGCCCTGAAAAGAGAATTGAACAAGGACTTTCGCCACTTGCCTGAAACGCACGGCTGCAGTCCGTGGCATCCAGCGGGCCTGGTCGGCCTCCGTTACCTCCGCCTCCTGACGGAAAAGACACCAGCTGCAGCCCGTCGTCCCCTCCTGCTGTCCCTGGTACCCCTGCAGCTGCCACCCCACCTCCTCCACAAACCACCTCCAGAGAGTCTTCGTGCTGCTGCTGCTCCTCCTGCTGCTGCTCCTGCTGCTCTTGTTCGAGCCCATCACGCACAGCAGGGCTCTGCAGGCCCTGCTGCGGCAGCAATACCAGACTGTCTGAGATGGGACTCTCCACAAAGTCAGTGTCGCTAGAAAGTGTGGCTTCTGGTCCTTGCTGTTGCTGTTGTTGCTGCATCTCACTGCTGCCACTCCAGCAGACATCTGGCTGCTCCCAAAGAGATAAAAGCCTCTCTGTCTTCCATGCCGTCTGTTGCTGCGGCTGCTGCTGTGCATGCTGCGGTCCGAACGCAGCGTCCTTCGCCGTTCTCTGCTGCTGTTGTAGTTGTTGCTGTTGCAGGGGCTGCAGCAACGAGTTCGCAGGATCAGCACCGAGAGCCCTGTCAAATACCGTGGCGCCATCTTGGGCCAGCGGGTGCAAATGGTGCTGCTCTTGCTGCCAAATACCCTCCTGCACAACTCCATTAGTTGCTTGTTGTTGCTGCTGCAAAAGCAACATGGCTTCTTGAGGTAGGACGGGCGGCTGGGTGAGAATATGCTGAATGTTTCCGCCAAGCTCGTGCTGCGGAAGCTGCTGCTGCTGCGGTCGTTGCTGCTGCAGACCCTCCCACGGCAGCCGCTGCTGGCGGGGCATCCAAGAGTACAGCTGATGGGCTGCCTGCACCTGCTGTTGCTGCGGCAGCAGAGGTCTCCTCTGACGGCCCTGCGCTGTCTGCTGTTGCTGTTGCTGCAAGTCTTTGTGGTTGAACCGTCCTTGGCGTTGTGACAGCAGGAGCAGCTGTTGTTGCTGTTGCTGTTGCTGTTGCTGCTGCTGTCGTAGCTGCCGATGCACACCTTTAGGCAGCTTCCTAGCTATCGGCGGAAGAGCTGTTGCTTTCTGTCCTGTGATATGGCGTTGCTGCATCAGCGCCTTGCTATTTTGTCCCATAAGTCGCCCCTGCTGCTGCTGCTGCTGCTGCTGCTGCTCTCTCCCAGTAACCGCGGGTGTCTGTACAGGGTAGTCTGGGCAAAGGGCACCTCCCTCAAAAGTCCAGGATGGCCCAGCAACTGTTTGGGGGGGCGTAGTGCCTGGCAGGTAGGTTGCCACTCCCTTCTGCTGCTGTTGCTGTTGCTGTTGCTGTTGCCTGTTATCGGTTTGATGCTGGCCGCGATTTGCCTGTTGAGCCTTGTCATCGATGTCTTGGCGCACCCCCACCTCCAGCAAGTCCCTCTCTTGAAGGCCTCCTTGCTGCCCCACGGAACCCAGCGTTGGTCCTCCTGCTGATGCGGCACACCCCGCCGTCGACCCTGTGAAGGAGAATGGTGACTGACAAGGAGCAGGAGAAGAGGTGCAGGTGCTGCTGCTGCTGCTGCTGTTGCTTGAGGAGCTGCCCAAGCTGCTCCTGCTGCTCACCTCCCCTTCCGTAAGCTCAGAAAGTGTCCCCAAACCACACGGAGGAGCAGCAGCTGTTGCAGAAGCAGCAGTTGCTGCTCCTGTTGAACCTGTCAGGCCCTTCTTCGGGGCTGGCGTTGGCGTCACAGTGACTCCACGCATCTCCTCGGGGCCGTGCTGCAGCAAATCATAAAGACACGACAAGCTCATTGCCTCAGTGCCACCAATGCAGTATGCACACCTATTAATGGTGCTGGTGCTGCTGGTGTCGGTTCTCCTGCAGGGAAGATGCTCACCGCGTGTCGACACAGGTTGCCGACGGCGCAGCGGCCCAGCTGCCACTTGACGCAGAGAGCTGTCTTGTAGACTTCCCTGCAGCAACAGAGCAAAACTCCCAAGAGAGGAAAGAATGTATGCACATGCAACGGGGCAGCCCGTAGCAGCAGCAACTGGTACGCATGCTGGCTCAGTCTCAACGGTGTTGGGCACCCGACGCAAGCAGCAACCGCAGCAACAGTAGCAGCAAACAGCTCCTGGGGCACCCGGAGGTGGTGCAGCATACCCCGTGGCTCTTAGTTCTTGGGGCTGGTGAGCATAAGAACAGTCTCTGTTGATGCAGCGGCCCAGCTGCTTAAGGCGTGGGCAAAGAGAAGTGCGGCGAAGGTCTGGGCTGGCCCGCAGCTCGGAAGTATTGTGGGCAAACTGGCAGCTAGTGCCTCGGTCGCAGCGTCCCCGAGAAAACCAAGGGCACATCTTTGTCTGCAGGAAGCAGCAGCAAACACCGCACATACAGACGCATTATATATATATATATATATATATATATATATA